GGGTGTTTAAAAGCAAACAAACAGCATGGTCTGATCTAAAAAAAAGAAAGCTTTGACTCCCTCATGTGGCTACATGTGGGAAACAACAAGCAAACAACTTCCTCCTTTTGTTTCACTTCATTTACTTTACTGTTTTTACAATGGCACATCAGTTAAAAGACAGCTTACACACACCTTTGCTGGAAAATATAAAGTACCATACCTCAGTTAAAGGCCCAAGCATTATACTAGGAAAATTAGCAAACCTTCAGAGAATGTAGATGTGTGAATGAAAACACAAATGCTATGCTTCAGCAGACAGCTCAACAAGTAAATTAGGACAGTTACAGTTAGCCGTTAGTATACACATTCATCGCATCCTAAATAATCGAGTGATGTTTTGTGCTTCTTGGTCAAAACCAGAGCAACCAGTTTCACACCATTTCATTATAACCACCCGGGTGTTGCTGCCAGATTCTTGACACACTAAAAATATACTGTATAAGTAGTTAATTCAGTATACTTTTAAAATAGGTCACAAGAGGATAGATGTAGTCTGGACAGTAAAACCACGTTTACAATATGTGCATTAACTGAAGGCACTACAATAGGGTGCGTAATCTAACGCTGATAAGAACGACACAGAGCTGAAAAAATTTCACTGAGTCAGCTGGCCAAATTCCCATCAGCACTCAGGAGCAAACACGGTGAGCATGTTGGAGACATTCACTTCATGAGTCAGCTTGGTATATAATGATTCATTTATAAATTATAGTTAATAGTACATGATGCAACCGAGAGACTAGCTACAGTTCAAACCAGCTTTCATGACGTCTTTCAATTTGAGAGCTTGAGTTGCAGATGGGAAGGCCACAAACAGTACCCAGAATGCATCAAACACCTGGTTAACGTAAGAGCTATCTGCTTCATATGAGCCTCTTTTTATAACACTAATAACAATATGCTTTGGGAAAATAAAATCACACTCCACATGCATTGTATGAACATCATAAACCATAGACTTTGACATAAAAAAGAACAAAAAAGTCAAGGTCCACTAGCTTTTTCCATACATTTTCTCATGGAAACAAACTAATATTATTTACTACTCTCACATCTGTGTGGTAAAAATAAGCAGTCAGTTAGCTTAGCTTAGCATAAAGACTGGAAACAGTGGGAAGCAGCTAGCCTGGCTCTGTCCAAAGGCAACAAAATACACCCACCAGCACCTTTTAAAGCCCACTCATTAACATGCTCAATCTCATTTTTAATTACAGAAACAGAACTGCAAATACAACTAATTGTGGCAGAGAAATAGCCCACTGATAACCCCTCAAAAACCATAACTTGATGTTTTTACACATTGGTTTTTCTACAGAATAAATAAACAAAATATAACGTGTCAATAAGTGAGCTAAAAAATTGGCGCGACGTCAGAATGTGGTGGCTATTACGGCGACCAGACCGCTAGCCACAGTTAGCCTGAAATATCACTGAAACTGGGCGCTAACCAGACAGACTTTGTGGACCAAACTATGATACTCTCCCAGTTATGTCCTCTCTTGGTTTATTTTGGGTACCCAGCTTCAATGTCTGTGTCTGGCTTACAGTCCATGCTGTAAATAGCGATACCAAGAAGCTTCCTTTGTTTTGTGTCCGTTTGTTTGAGAGAGAGGGAAAGAGACTGGTGGTTGTGCTGCTGACTGAGATGAATTACTGTCTTAAGACCTTAAAGCTCAATCATTAACATGCTCTATTTTTCTTAATATTAAATTACAGAAACAGAATAGTACACTTTGTTTTTGTACGGAAAAACAAAAAACAAAATATAATGTGTTAATTAGTGAGCGTGTTACCTTCGGACAGAACCATGCTAGCTTTTCCACTCTTTTCCAAGCTAAGCTAATTGGGTGTAGCGTATAACTCCCTGCAAGAAAGCAAATAAAGCATGCCCGACCACGCATACATAAAAAAACTCACCCAACCAATATTATAATATACAGGATTTTGAACTAAACTACTTTTTCTTCCTGACAATGATTGTTACTTCATCTTTTTACACTATTGCCACTTCTATGCACTCTTACATCGATTTGAAATATGTCAAATTATGAAAAACTATCAGAACATAATTTTCCAGAATGATTCTTTGTTACATAACCACTGAATTGAACGCATTGAATACACTTTAAAATCATACAAATTACTTTAAAATAAAATCTATGGTGATGTAATACAGCTCTGTACTTTCTTTTTACAAAACTAAATCCAAATGTCTTCTGCATAATAACAGCAGAATAACCAGAGGTCAGAACAGAACTCGGTTCTTCCTTCAAGGACGAGGGGACGGTTAACCGTGATAAAATATCTAAGAGCCACTGAGAGCTGCTGGTGATATCTGCCTGCAGGGCAAGCTCTCAATAAAGCAATCCTTCAAATATACACATAATATTCATCAACCATAAATATCTACACACAGAGCCCTGAGTTCACTGAAGTCCTTCAGACAATGTGGATTATCACATCTTCATGACGTGGCTTTGGAAACAGCGACGCCATGGTCTTTACAAAGAGCTCGGCTCAGCCAGACTCCTGTGCAAGTAGTGTCGCCTTTCAACGTCCCATATGTGACGTTGTGGACACGGCATGACAAATAATTCAAGCATAGATCGCCAGTGCAGAGCAGGAATCATGTTCTCACAGAGGTGCGAATTAGTGGGACACCTGAAGAATTAGTTTCTGTGTGAGAGGGTGAGTAGGTGGTCGGAGAACCAGAAGTATGACCTGTAAGAACAAAAAGGGACACGGTAATTCCTCAGCATTCACCTGGAGAGGAGACTGCACATTAATTCTGCTCACTGCATTCCCTTTTCACAGTGAACTGCAACTAGACATCTGGGATATTTTAATTTCAAAAGAGGCAACAGTTTGCTGGAAAGAAAAGCAAAAAGAAATTAAGCATTTGTAAAAATCTTCCCAACAAAAGCCTTTGTTTGACTCAAAGGTACCCAGTGCCCGGTGAGCTCAGTGGGTAGAGCTGGCGACCCATGTACTGAGGCTGAGTCCTTGCGGCCCAGGGTACGAATCCTGCGGCCCATTGCTGCGTGTCATCCCCTATCTCTACCCCCCTTTCCCATCTATCTTCGGCTGTCCCTATCAGGTAAAGGCCAAAAAAAATAATAATAAAGAAAAAGGTACCCAGTGAACCACTAGACCACTAGTAGCACTTAGGAGCTATGTTTTTATGTGTGGCCATTGTTTTGTTTGTTCTCATGCACGCACATGTGGACCAATACACATTCCTGCCAATGGTTCCATACTATTCCAGGTAGAGAAGAAGACATGGATATAGACAATACAGGTTAATTTGTGTATAATCACCTGAAAACAAGATTTGTTGTGTTTCTGTAACCAAAGAATGAGCTGTTTTTATTTACAGTTGTTAGAGTTGCAATCTGCAACTACACTGCTAGATGCAACCAAATCCTACACACTGGACCTTTAAGTCCTGTCTCAGAGGTTGTTTCGTCCCCTCGCACACGATGCGATGAACATGTCATGGTACGTATAACGTTGCAAATGTTTTGCGAGGAAGGAAATGCCTTCAACATATTTGTTAGACCTCAAGGACACAACATGCATTTTAGTGAGTGACACTGAATATAAACAGAAACTCCACGGGTCGCCTTTAAGATTCGAGATACCTTAACCTGAGTGAATTTTTGTGTTTAAATCAACTACAGAGATGTTTTTTTATTATTTACCATACATCATTTTAGCATTGCAACTTATACCGTTCAGTAAGTTAAAAAAACCAACAGCTTTATGCGGTTTTCTGACCAGGTCAGCCCCTGTTGCACCTGAACGTGTAATATCATCTACTTTTTTTATATTCTCTCAAGTCCCCTTGAAGGCCTCCCATCAAGAGCACTGTGCTTTAGCATCATCACACTTCATGTCAGACTATTACCTCTTTCTTCCCCTTTTGTCACAGCTCTGATGACACATCGCAGGAGCAGGTGAACAGGTTGCATTCATCAAGTTGAAACAAGACGTTTATGACAAGTTTGTGCGGTGAAAAGAACACATACCACATGGAAATGGCATTTAATGGCTAGTTGTAATCACACAAAAGCAAACTATAAAATAACACCAGTAGTCAAGCACCTGCACAGGACATAAAGGACACAGAGGTCATGTCCTCTGTATTTATACTGGAGGATAAAGCTGTTAAAGACACCAGGGGGGCGGTTACATGCTGCAATTAAAAACATTATGTTAAGAATGTAACAGTATATTGTGTACGTAATAACATAATAAAGACAGATTTCTTACCTCCATTGTTCCTCCACATCTCTCTGGCACACTTGTCAGAGGAGGTCAGTTCTGATATTTGGATGTTTGGATTTGATTTGTAGTCATCTTGAGGAACAAATGAGAGTTATCGTTACTTGAAGGCAGAAATGCAAGGTGTTTCGGGGGAAACCAAACCAAAAGGAGTTATTAAGTCTCCACCAACACTTACTGTTGTTGCTGAACGAAAAGGAACCGCTGTCCCTCATTGTCTCGTTCCCGCTGTCCGACAGCGTCCTCTCCCTCCTCGTGATGGGCGGCCTCTTCTTCGTACTCTTCCGAGTGCTGATGCGGATGATGCCGCGCACCAGCCGACACTCGGCCTCCTGCTCGTCCATCTTGTGCTCCTCTGCCAGCGAGTTGATGAGCTGGTTGATGGCCTTGCTTTTCTTCAGAAACACGGAGTCCGAGGTGCACCTGGCCAACTCTTCGATCTGATACTCAGAGTAGAGCTCCAGCAGCTTCTTGGTGATCAGAGAGTCCACGTTCTCCTCGCCATCCTCCCAGTCATCGAACCTCATAGACTCATGCATGGACGGATGGATGGGCTGTGTCGGACCGCCAGACGGAAGCACATATGATGTAGATTTGGTTTCAACGTCTAAATACGCTCTCGGGCTGTCAACTTTGACTCCGGCGAAGTGGACGTCCTCCAGCCAGTCCGCGCCGTCCTCTTCTTCTTTGCGCTCTCCGGGGTTCGCGGCTCGGAGGCTCACCTTCTCTGGTTCGTCTGGGGAGCTCTCGTTTGGCGCCAGGCACGGAGCGAGGATGGAGCGCTGGCAGACCCGATACAGGCCGCAGGTGAGCACGCTGCACATAAAGGTCCTACAGCCCCTTGGAGAAGCGCAGGGATTGCAGGTTTGTGTGGCAGAGGAAGGGTCAGCTGAGCCGGGGACGAAGCCGATGGTCTCAGACTCCCTTCCGTTCGCATCTTTCAGGTTGGCTTTGTGGACTGTCTTTGGCTCTGGAGTCGGGAGCCTGTCTTCCACCGGGTCAACACAGCGCTCCTCGTAGGACGACCTCTGGCTGCTGCTCCGGCTGGGTCCATGCCGGTAGCTGCCAGGGCCCGAGCTGTGTCTCCGACCGCCAGTGCTGTCGGCAGACATGACGTACAGGCTCCAAAGTCTGGACAAGCATGAAGGGAAGTAAGGTCAATTAAGGCGTCACTAAATGGTAACACATGACAAGGCATCACTGAACAAAGCTTTTGCTATCAAATCACCTGTAGCCACCTGAGGGCTCTCTCTTCAAAACAAAGTGAAACTACTATCCCCGGGTGGCGGGTAAAGTAACCCAACTGGTTCTCATGAGGATGTGTAAGCACACATTCAAAGGCAATGACTTATCAAATTCCCCTTTTGATGTCATGGAGATTTCTAAAACTCAACAAAAATGTTTAATTGTAACATACAGAGAGTAAGTGTGACACACAGGCAAAACTATTATATGAAAGGGTTAAAAAAGCATCCCATTCATCCTAATGTGCTGGGATGCTGAATCAAGGAAAACCGAATTTAACTCAGAAATCTTGGAATTAAATGAATCTGTTTCTCATTTTGAATTCTGCACCTGCTCAGCAAAATATATAACTATGCCATCTTTAAACTGATTCCGCCAATTGGCTGCAAGCTAGAACTTTCTGAAGTCTGACAGCCACTATTATAGCAAACCTGTGTAAAAGCACAATTTGTATTAGAGTAAGCAAGCACTGTTGTAGGTTGCACGAACGCCGAATTGAAGAATAAATGTAATTAAATCGGAATTTGTCTTCGGGTATGTTTTAACTGCTATACATATTTACTGAAAACATAATACGCACTAAATTGCCAGATTCCCAGATAGTGTCTGGCCTTCCGTGCGACGACGGCAAGTGTTCGGACGAATGTTTACAGGAGTCATTCCATGTAGTTGAGTAATAAACAAACAAGCCAAATACAAATACACTTTTGCTCTTTTTTTTCCAAATGTAACCTCTACAATTAATTAGCCTACGAGTTACAGTTTAACACACATTAGCCTCAGGAACCCCTTTCCTGTATAAAAATTATTTTCACTTTCATGGCGACTTGTCATCGCGGCTCTTTCCTCCATTAGAGGACTTAGGAACTTCTCACTAAACACTACTCACAGTGTACACGGTGCGTCCACAAAATTGCTCCCGAATTAATGTTGTCGTCTCCACCTTACAGCAAACATTTCTGCTTTTAATCCATTTTGAACGTCTCCAATATCAGCTCCGCTCCAAAAATGCCAGTTTCAGTGAAGTTTTCGACCAAATCCGTGTACCTGAGCGTCAAGGTGGAGGAAACGTACCAGGTAGCTGCAGCAAGAGCTCGGACTTCCGGCTATGGCTTCAACAATAAAACGCAAGTTAAATTGCCACTGTGATTTTACTTTTTTGTTTGCGATTTACTTATTTGTATTGGTTTGATAATTGTATTGTGTTTTTTGCTATTTGAATTAATTCATTTATTTAGTTTTTTGGGGGACTTTATGGCTCTGCTATGACTTGCCGCTTAGCTTATATTTTATGAGGATCCATATATTGTTATGACGTGGTTTTTGAGCTACTTCAGCCTTGGTATCATCTCTCAGCGTCCAATGTAATGGGCAGTGTAACGTTATGTTGTGTTTAAGAAATTCAAATGCCACGCTGATTTGATCTGGCAATAACATAACGCCTCGCAGATGTATTTAAATCACATAGCAATTAGACAAGCGAGCACACCATGAAATACAACATAAGCCCCACATAACTCTTATTTTGTTATGATATCCGGTGTTATGCAGAGTTCTGCCTACCTGACGAGGAACGCACGCCCCTCGCGGGAGCGCGCACAGCGAAGGCAAAACTAGCAGACGTTGTAATGATCTCTAAGGCAAAGTACAATTCAAAAATAATCTTCTTTGTCTGGTTCATCAGTGATGATAAATGATCTGAAGTGTATACTTTATAGACGTTTAGAGTCATTCATGTTTGATTAGACTCAACTGAAGTAGCATTTTCTTTCCTTATTTGATTATGTGTTTCCTGTATGCCTGCATCTTCCCACACTACTGTTACTAAAGTCCTGCTGCCTGTCTAATAAACATGCCTTCCTGCTCAGTGCCTTTGGAATTTTACCTGATTTGCCTGCCTGCCTGTGGCCAACACACCTGGCTGTTTATTGACTTTTGAATATAAATGCCTTTAACTCAACCAGCCATGACACAGTGTCTACAGCTGGGTCATGCTGCCTGCTTCCACACTTGTGACAGCTGGACAGAAATGTAGTCCCTCTTATCTTTGGGCAGGAAAGTGTCACATGCATCAAATTCTCTCTTTCAAGATGTTAATACCATTTGATTTCTGAGTGACCAAAGAGAAAGTGAAGGGGTGGATGCATGATTCAGCAGAGTTGGATTTTTTAGCTCCCGAGAAATGCATCCACCGCATTACTCTTCTCGTTTAGACTGTGAAAGAAGGATAACAAAGACGTTTAGAATAATAATAATATATCACTAATATAATCAGGCATATGGTCATGGTCATTATCATTATTACTATTAATCTGCACTTAAATACATCCTGCATTGCAAAGTAAAGTAGGCTATTGATTTTTCTAAGCCTGTGGAGTGAATGTGACTGGAGTACGGTATCACAGTGTCCGTTTAGAGAGTCTATTTACTTGGCTACCTATTTGGACTTGATGTGTTTGGCACTGCGTGTTGGTACACTGACAACCGGAGTCAAAGTTCTTGTGCATAACTTGCTTGTAAACTACTGTAATTCTGTATTACATCTGAACATGCAACAGTTATGCAATTTACACACAATTAACAGGTCAGATTATTGACATGTAGTCACTGTTACTGAATACATATGGTTGAGTCTGTTGACCATTTGGAGGCTGGGTGTCGCAGCTCCGATCTCAAATGCATTGCACAATGAAAAACATGAGATTTACCCCATTCATCAAGATATAGTGTACATTGTATCATTGTACACATTGAATCATGTAATCCAACTGTACCCTGAAATGACCAGACATTTAGATACATGAGTATGAATGTGCAAGATCATGTCGGTACAATTAATACTAAAACTGGTACTTCATGCTTTCAAGAGTTTTGTAGTCTTTGACCTGGTCCTAACAGCCATAGTCCACACATTAAAGTTCCAAGCAGACCATTTGTAAATGGGTTAATAGATGTCTGGGTCTTCCGTTTAACACATTTCTTACTGACCAAGACTGTAAGGTTGAGATAACTGTACCATGTACAAAGGTTTTGTGTCGCGTGCCAGTCTACTCAGCGACTGAGAGGTTCAGTATACTCGACTTCTGGTGCTGAAGATCTTTATCCAGTCATTCAAGGCTTCATCATTAATTAAAACTTCCAAACTTAAGACCAATCATATCAAGGAAATGCTGATTACCTCTAATGAAACACTGATGAATCGGAACATTCATAAACATTAAGACTTAAAATCATTTATGATCATTGATGAACCCAACAAAGAGGACTATCTTGTTTTTAAACAGTACTTTGCTTTACAAATCTTTTCAGTGTCTGGGAGCTGTGGCATCAGCTGTGCGCGCTCCCGCGAGGGCTCTGCGGTTCTCTTCAGGTAGACAGAACTCTTCATAACACCTGTACAGATATTGTCGATCACCCGCAAACGTCCTGCGTCAAGTCACACACACTGGCAGCTGGTTTACCGGATATTGTACGACTTGGAAACTACTGCCATTTGATAATTTGTCGAGAAATAATGATATAATATAATAATGAAAGTGCGAGAGGTATTCCAATACAATATGCGGCCATTCAGTTTATGTGGCTGCTATCATCATCCTTCCTAAAATGTCATCTTTTAATGGGATATTTATTTTGAAAGAACTGGAACCGGAAGCAGTGCTTTTCTTTGTGTTGAGTTTGACAGCGACCAGTTCACCCGGACGCCTCGTTTTTATGGCAACGTAGCTAAACAATACTAGTCACGAATGTGCCAAGACTCTGTGTAGGAGAGCAACAAGCCTCAAACATTACGAAGTGTTAGTGCTTCTTTTAGTTTATGCATGTAGGACCTCGGGAGGTTAAAAAGGGTTGGCTGCTATGTGCAGGACGAGCGAGCTAACAGGCTAGCAGTGGTAACGGTACTTTAGGTTTACTGATGTTAAATAGTCCGCAGCTGGCTGAGTTGGCTCGTCTGAATGAATGGCACAGCTAACAAGCTAACGATGTCTCTCTGGCGACAGTCTCTAAGAGGAATAAACGAAGAAGCATGGGAAGTAACGGGGACGTCCTCTCGAGCACCGGGTCTTCGGGTTATTTACAGCTGGATGCCCGTAGTGTAGGGTTAGCCTGTTTTCTACGCCGAATGACGACATTTGCACCGTCCAGCTGCCTCAAACACGAGCGTCGGTGATGCTGTCCATCGCTGGCCAAATGCCTTGGTTGTCCGAATTGGGACAGAGCACCAAAACTACCTTATAAATCATGAAAAACTGCGAGTATCAGCAAATCGACCCGCATGCACTTCCGACACCAACACCGACCCCTCCACCTCACCATGGGAGCGACGGCGACAAGAAAGAGGAGCCGAAGAGACCGAGGAGAAAGTGGGAAGTTTTCCCCGGGAAGAATCGCTTCTACTGCGATGGACGGATCATAGTGGCCCGGCAGAGTGGGGTCTTGCCCCTCACTCTGGGCCTTATTCTCGTCACAAGTGGATTATTCTTTATATTTGAGTGAGTTCATGTTTCATATTCGGTCTACGATTGTGTCATGTCACCTGCGGGTTCAGTCGTTGTCCTGGTGACAAAGGTATGATATGTAAAGGACAACATTTCAATACACGTCAGCCTCCTTAACAGTACTGCAATGAGTGAGACAGCCGGCTCTGTAAAATGACATTTTATTGATCTGACTCCTGTCTGGCGCGTTAAATCTACGCCGAACCGTAAAGCAGGACCTTATGATTCTTAAAATATCTTTATTCGTGTTTTACAGCTGCATTTTCATAACTATAACGCAATTCAGTTTAAAATAGTTAGACTTCATAATGCAGTCTGGCAAGGTTTTACAAAAATGTACACATCAGAGCTCTATTTGTCCCATACTTTTGCTTTACAGAGTGTGAATATCTGTTTTGGTTACATATTAACATTTGAGTTTATCTCGCAGCTATTAATGTGGCATTACACTATAATATTCAATAGTGCTTGAATATGAAAATGGAATTCCTTCTATCACAGTGTAGTGAAAAGTGTGTTCTGTCTCCAGAGATTCTCCTGGTGATTAAAGGCACTGGATGTTAATTAAAATAGATCCCCTGGTGGATGAAAAGAAGTAGGCTCAGTTGTAGGAGACAACCCCCCCCCATCCCCCCTATCCTTCCCGCCCTTTGTTATGGTCAGCACATCTTGGTAATTCCTACTC